TCGAGGGGCAGTTTGGTGGGCGAGGGGCAGTCAGGTGTTCGAGGGGCAGTTTGGTGGGCGAGGGGCAGTCAGGTGGGCGAGGGGCAGTCAGGTGGACGAGGGGCAGTTAGGTGGGCCAGGGGCAGTTAGGTGGGCGAGGGGCAGTCAGGTGGGCAACAAGCAGAAGATCTGAGCAGCCAGACGCTGAACCAAGAACGAATCTGATGTTGACACTCAGACTGCAGCAGGAAGTTACTGAGTGTGTGTGTGTGTGTGTGTGTGTGTGTGTTGTGCTGACGCTGCTGTTTCTGTGTGTTTGTGTTTCCGTCCGACAGAAAGTGCGTTTGGCTCGGATCCGTATGGCGAAGAAAGGAACAACCAACGCCTTCCTCCAGTACAAAGAAGACCGAGCCATCGGGGTGAGACGCACACACACACACACACACACACACACACAGTAACACACACACAGTAGCACACACACAGTAACACACACATGTGTTTGTCCTGCTCCAGTTGCAGGTTTACTTTGAACCTCTCTGCTCCTGCAGCCGGCAGCTCTTAGACGTGATTCTGGATTCTGTCGTTATTTAAAGTCTGCTGTCAACAGGAGACGTAACTAAAGCAGCAGGACTGTTTGTGAGCAGCACCGTTCATCATCTACCAGCACAGCGGTTCTTCAGGTCCGGTAGCTGTTCGACCAGGAACGAGTCCGTCGCAGCAGACCGTCCACCGGCACCAGAGCCAGACGGAGATAAAGCGAAGCAGATTAGTCAAGATCAGGTCAGACTGAAGCTGCAAGAGTTCATCTGGGTCCAGAGGTCACCGAGCTGGTTTCAGTCCGAGAAGATCATCCAGATGTTCCAGCTGCACATTCACCAGCAGTCCCAATGGGTCCAGGACGACACCAACAGCGAAGAAGAGCTGAAGTTTGGCTGCGTCGCTCTGGTTCATCGTGTAGAGCTCAGAGTCAGTGTCGCTCTCGGTGCTCCTGCATGTCATCGTCAATCTATTTCTCAGTCAGCACAGGGGCCAGTGACACCTGGACCGGAGAACCAGGCCCTGGAGGCCCTCAAAGGCCCCCGAAGGCACCCGTAGGCGCCCGTAGGTCTCCAGAGGCCCCCATAGGCCCCCATAAGCCCCCCGTAGGCCCTGTAGGCCTCCCGAGGCCCCCATAGGCCCCCCGTAGCCCCCTGGAGGCCTCTGGAGGCCCCCGTGGGTCCCTGGGTTTCCCGTAGGCCCCTGGAGGCTCCGTAGTGTTTGACTTCTTTCTGGCTCGTTGCAGACCAGGTTCAGGTCATTTAGGACCAGGTTTTAGTCTAAAACATGAAAACTGGAGGAAAAAAAGTTGAAATAAGTCACAGTCACATTGAAACTGTTTGATTCTAAACAATGTTTTTCAGTCAGTTTGATTCATGTTTGGTAAAGTTTTACTTCACAAACACAACAACAGATCAAATACGTCCCATCGGTTTGACTTCAGACCTTTGGACACGTTCTGAGTCTTCAGTCGTCTGCAGACGTTGTTTTATCGTTTTAGTGAAGTTTGTGGCACTTGGTCGGTATCTGCTCCTCCCAGGTGAAGTCGGTCCGACACTCTCAGCCTCCTCCGTCTGAAGACTTTTAACTTCTCATTTAAATAACTTTCATTATATAACACAGAACTCTTCTTCCTCTCGTTAAGCTTCGGTTGCTGTTAACGAGCGTTTCGGTGAGACATCATAAAGAAGACAATGAGAGAAGATGTGAAGAGCTTCAGCAGGTTTAAGTTTTATCAGCACAGACTCCGATAGCGTTGGATCCGTCCTTTAATCCGTCTGCCGGGCGTAAGGAGCCAATCAGAGGCTGGAGCTGAAGGAGGCACGTGGACGCCAGAAATAAGAGATGAAGCAGATTAAAACCAGAGAAGAACGATTATTCCAGCCTCTCGGTTCAACCTCTGGAATGAAAAGTCTGAGGATCGTCAGGCTTCATCTCCGAGTCGCTGCTTAAGAACCAACGTCTGAACTTCACAGAGGAAACGTCGTGGACTCGTTAAGACGAAGCTAAACGACGGAGTCACTCCTTTATCAACACACTGCTCTATGTTATATGTGTTATTATGGGATGCCGCTTCAGAGGTGACCAGCTAACGACACAAAGCTTCGTTTAGATTCTCAGTGGACCAGTTCATGGTCATCAGCAGCAGATGGGTTAAGGTTTCTGTTCCTTTAACGTCCAGAAATAACAGTTTATCATCAGAGTTTATTCAGTCAAATCAGGTTTTAAAGACATTTTAAAACACACAGAGTTCATTTAGATCCAGTTTTATGTTTGATTGACACCAGCGTTACTCTCCTGATCACTGATTTACTGACGTGTATCAGATTTAACAACACATGAAGCTGTTTCTCTGTCTTCAGCAGTTTCCACCTTTCAGTCAGAACCTCCATCAGAACTTTAACAAACACAGTGCAAGTGTTGAAGGAACCAACCCAAGTCCGAGCTCCCACAGAGAGTGACTGATCGTCTTCTTTTTGTTCAAAGCTTGTTTTGTTTCTTTAAATGATCCAAACCCTCCACCGGACACTGATTTCACTCTCCTGCGTCTTTTCTTCATGACAACAAACTCAACCAAAGTCAGAACTTGGTCTTGTGGATCCAGAAACATCACATACTATAAGTTTGTTATTAGTCACAACAAAGGAAGTCCTCACTAATGCTAACGCTAATTGATAGCTTCATGGGTGATTTCAGGGGACTTTATCAATCAGTGAAGTTGATTTGTGTTGTTGTTGTTGTTGTTGTTGTTGTTGTTGTTGTCGTCCAGGATCGGGACAGCGACAGCACGGCTCTGTGTGTGAAGAACCGGTCGGCCTTTGAACACCAACATCACCACCTGCTGCACTGTCTGGAGAAAACCACGGTGAGGCGCCGCCGGCTTTCACGGAAACCAAAGCAAAACGTCTGACGCAGTCTCACCAAACGTTGGTTTCATAGCTGTTGAGTCCATCAGACGTCTTCCTCACAGAACTTTAGATTTCATCGTTTGTTTAAAAGTTTTTATCTACAACATGAAAAACAAAGAAAAGTCTCAGTTTGTAAACCATCACTGATGACCAGGGATGGATCAGTGAAGCACTACATCCACTAAAAGGCTCTGAAAGACACAAGTACTGACCACAGAGAGACTTTCAACGACCACAGAGACAAACAAAACAGAGAAAGAAAGAAAACAACCACAAGACGAAAACATAAAAAAGGAAATGAGTGCCGACACAAACCACAGAAAGACGCACACTGACTTCAAGGAGGCAGAAACTGACAACAGAAGAGACATGAACTGACTAAAACAGACCAATAAAATGACTACAATAAGTTGTACATTGGCTACAAAAAGATACACAACAGCAGCAAAAGGAAGCAAAAAACAGACACAAAATAACTACAAAGAGACACGAGACAGCAACAAAGACCCTCAATAACGACTAGCAGTGGTTTTGTGTCTTCAGTCCGTCTACGACAGTCCAAGTTAGAATCTCTGGTCGTCTCGTAAACCCGCTGATAGAAACTCTAAAACCATCCAGTGTTCCTCAGGCTCTAACGCTCTCTGTCCTCCACAGAACCACGAGTTCACCGATGAGATGAACTACAGCGAGCTGTGCATGACCGAGTCAGTGGGCTTCCGGACCAGTCGCAGCACCTCCCTGTCCAGCCAGCAGGGGGCGCAGAACAACTCCACCGGCTGCTGCCCCCGCCGGGCCCGAAGAAGAGCCGCCATGAGGCTGGCCAACTCCACGGTGTCGGTCAGCCGAGGCAGCGTCCAGGAGCTGGACACGCTGCACATCAAGACCACCTCCATCCCGCCGCAAACGTAACGCTGATACTAGTTTACTGCTGCCCCAAATGTCAACGTATGATCAGACACATCAGAGATACTCTGGTCTGTACAGACTCACTGTGAGACATTTAAAACAAACTGCTGCACTGATAGAATTCAGCCAAAACACCAAACAGACACAGAAAACAGCAGAGGACCAACAACAGAGCCCTGAGGTACACCACCATGACATTGTTCCAAATGCATCACATTTTTCAGAGGCTGAAGAAGCTCACAAACTCTTAAAATGTTGCACAAGCCTCAGAAGTGGTGAAAATTTAAATATTTTATAATAATAATAATAATAATAATAATAATAATAATACATGTATTTTGTATAGCGCTTTTCACTGAAGATAAGAACAAGAACAAAACAAGTTAAATACAAAACAGATTAAAAAAAACAAGGTAGAGAAGGCAGGTAAAGAATAAAAATGTAAAACAGTTAAACATTAAAAGCGATCTTAAAACGGTGGGTTTTTAAAAGAGACTTAAATGTGTTGAGGTCAGAGCAGTTTATGGTTCTTTGTCTCCACAGGACAAAACAGGAGCGATTGTCACTCAGATTTATGCTGCACTGTGTTTGTCCTGCTCGATAAGACCTCGACCTGAACACGTGCCAGTACTGGGTTACAGTCACAGCGCCATCTACTGGACTTAGGGATTAATACAAGACATGCACTGCATCATGTCACCGCCACAGAGTCCAGACAGGACATAAAAACGTACTGGCGTTAGCAGCGGTCGCTACAGTGCACAGTTGCATGACGTGTTGTCCTGATTATCACTGCTGCAGCTTTTAATGTTTCAGAAAGATGGAAGAATATGCAAAAAGAAAAGATCAGGTTTTCGTGTGATGTAAATGTGAACAGTTCAAACGGTCTGCAGCGGTTCAGTTTCTGTATCTTTGTTTCCTCAGCCGTTCCAGTCTGAACGCGCAGGCCGACGACCTGAAGCTGAACTGCGGAGAACAAGACTTCACCGCCGCCATCATCAGCATCCCCACGCCGCCCGCCAACACGCCAGACGAGAGCCTCCCCCCGTCGCCTGCCCCCATCCCCGGCATCCTGCGCAACACCCGGGCCACCGCCTACACCCACGACACCGTCAAAATCTCCTCCTTATAACCTCCGCCCGCTGACCGCCCTCCTGTCCTGACCCGTCCCTCGGCCCCAACAGCCACCTTCCCCCCATGAACCTGGTTTAAGCCTCTGATCCTGGATCGAGGCGCTGCTGGCTCAGATTCTGAAACACCGTGGATTGTTTTTCTGTGGATTACTTGGAGTGAACGGCCCGGTTGGGAGGCACCATGTACAGCAACACATCATGGTAGCCAACTGGAGCTCAAGCTAACGTTAAAGACTTGAAAGAAGCAGTTTTCCTCCTGAAACCTTCCCCTTCATGCATTTCAGCTCCTACCACGCACTTACCCCGTCTGCCCCGGCACAATCTGCCCTTTGGAATCTCATTGCACAAAACCCCTCGAGGGTTCATCCAGGGGCATCAATGGAAAAGACTCATAAAGGCGCCAAAACTGATTAAAGATTTGGGTTTGGTGGCGCCGCCTTCAAACTTCATGCTTTAGAGGACAGTGATCTTATTTTTGATCTGAACCTGGTTTGATGGACCGTTAGACTCAGTTTGGAAAAGATGATTTGTAGGAAACCAAACCACCTTCTTTGGGTGTTGGAGGGAACTAACGATGGGTGTGGATTGGTGTTTTGGCGTTGCTTAAACTTGGTACTTGTCTTTGGATTGACTTGGTTTTCTTTCTGATGACGGACTCCATCTTCAGGACGGCTGAAGCTGAGAACTTCTTTCACTGAAAAGTTTGTCGGTTTAAACTTAAACAAGGACGAAGTAGAGTCAGGTGGCGTTTGGGCGTATGTGTGGAGGATCTCGGGAACCACTTCAGGTTAATAATTTCAAAAAACAAGGAAACCATAAGCCAGAACTCTTGAGGTTTTATCAGGATCCATTTGGACGAGTTGAAGAACGACGCTGAAGCACACAAACTGAACTGATCTTTGCGATTTAAAGGAGCTGAACTGGACTAGAACTGAGCAGAACCTGGTTTTCTAACAGGGTTTCGAGCTCGGTTAGGATTCCTGGACTGGATTTACGTGGTCTGATGTGGACTGGTCTGATGTAGCTCCGAAGTGTTCGTCACTGACGCCCAGACCGGGATCGAGAGAAAGCCTTTTACTTTTCAAAATATGCAACATTACAACAAGCAGGAAAATAGCATCAACAAATGAAGCGAATAATATTAATAACAGTAATAATGTGTGTTTAAGAACTACAGTAATTATCGCAGCAGGGAACAAAATGTAAAGCAACTAAGAAATTCACTCGTTATGTCAGAGAACATGACGAGTTTCTGCAATAGATTAAAGGGAAAGGAAACGCCGAGCGCCCGTCGGCTTCCAGGTTTGTCCCGATGACGTGCACATCGGAAAAACGATCCACGCCGCCGCCGTCGGTGGAAAAACTCACGGCGCCGCATCAAACTCAGCTCCTCTGAACTTTAGCGTCTTAGCTCGACCGGCTCGCCTGCAAATCACCAAAACCGAAGCTGAGCCTTCGGATATTATTTATTGTCGTATTTATTTCCCTCCGAGTGTGATTTTCTGTTTGAGGCAGCTGATTGCAGCAGAACGCAGCAGCCGGCGGAAGGTTTGGTGATTTGCTGGTGAAAATATCTGAAACGCAGTCGAACAACCAAAGGTCAAGAAAAGTCTTCAAAAGATTTCGCTTTCCTCCAAAAACACCTTCAACCATGAACGTGGTTCAGGGTCACTAGAGATTCAGATCAACGAGGACATAAATTAGTGCAAATGACTCCGAATTTAGGAAGAATCCCCCAAAACTTGTCTGAAATCAATAAAAAATGATCTAAAATTAGTCTAAAGTTGCCAAAAATGACTTGAAATTGTTCCTTAATTACTGGACAGGTGTCCAGAATGTCTGGAAGCTTGTCTGAAATGACACAAAAGAAGTTAAGGTTACTTTCCATTTGTCAGAAATGACTAGAAACAGGTCAAAAGTAGTTAAAGTTACTTGACCCATGACTCGATTATCTAAACTTGTCAAAATGATTTGAAACCTGAACAACGTGACTCGAAACGCGTCAATAACCGTCTAAAATGTCCCGAACGTGTCCGAATGGGCTCATCAGTGGTCCAGAGCGACGCCTCCTCGTGTTGAATCCTTTCGACGCTGCACGCCGTCGGCCATGTTCGACCTCAGCCGCGAGGCGTCGAAGCGTTTCCTCGACCGATGAGCGACGAGACAAAGACGTACATACTGTAACATATTTTGTATCATAAACTTTCACCTGCATCTTCCAATCAAATCCTCAAACCAAAAAAACAAAACAAACAAAAAAAAAGACAAAAGATCGATGGAAGCCGTCGGCTGGCGTCCGTCCGTGCATGAGCCTCGTACAGTAGAAGTAGCACTACTGATCATAGGATTATCAACCATATCAGAGAAAAAACACGACACGTGGGGAAGAGGTCATCCGGTGTTTGCATGAAGACTCTTGGTTTCCCCGTTGCTTTGTTTTCTTCATCTTCCACCCAAACCTTCTCCAGACGAGTGTTTGCACCACCGACAGATTCTCGGAACATTCAGGCATGTTGCCGCCAGAGTGCGAGTGTGTGCGCCGCCGGCTGTTTGTGTGTTTGTATGAAGGTGTTTGTATGATGAGCAGTCACAAATATGCATGGATACCGTTGTAGGTATTTTATCTGTTTTCTCCTGCAGTTTGAAGAGACGAGACTGAACGGACTCAATGCTCGCTGATGGTTTTACTGGTTCCACCGTCGCCTCCATCTTTATCGTCCATCAGGTTTATACCAGTAAAGTCCTGGATCTGCTGAAAGCACCAAAAACCTGAAACTGTTTGTTCGTCCGCATTTTAGAACACTCAGAGTTTTCTGATGTGATTTGATGTCGGGATGCCGTGATGATGTACGAAGGAACAGCAGCACTTATTAACGTATCTGTTACTTTTAAGTTGTGAATAATTCTGCGTATGAATAAATCTTGTAAACAGGGTGTAGTTCCAGCCTCCAGACACCAGGGGGCGCTGCAGGGACAGATTCACAGGAGAAATATTGGAGAAGTCAAAATGTAATTACAACACGCTCTTCAGCTAACTAGAACTATAAAGTGAATAATTCGCACCACGATGATTTAAAAATCCTACGAGTTACAGTTTGTTTGGTCAAAATGAGCCAAAATCAAACTGCAGCTAAAAGTTCTGAACATCGAGTTCAGTTTATCACATTAACAGGCCAAATTCATTCAGGACGTGACGCCATTTTAAATTGGTAAAAAAGAAGTACTTTTAAAATAGTTTAATTTCATTTACAGAAGCCAAGAACAGCTCACAACAGTTTTTTTTAAACGCCATTTTGTTCTCACTAAATATTTTTTTGCAAAATCCAGCTTTTGTTTTGTTTTCCTCGTGAGATCAAAATAGAACTTATGGTCTGCAGTACCAGCAGGAAAGAAAAAAAAAAACCTAACAAAAAAAAGAATCGCAAGCATGGCAGCTTTTGGCTTCCATACTTTTACGGAAGCAAAGAAAAAAATGCTTTTCCCGCCTTTAAAAAAAAAAAAAAAAAAAGTTCTTGAAATCAGCCATTTGTTTTCTTGACATAGTGAAATAATTAACTTGTTATTTCGAGACAACAACAATAAAATAGCTGCGTATAGAGCCATGCTTGGCCTCCATCCACTCTGGAAGGCCAGTACAGCCATGATTGCACTTGTTTTCTTAACGTTGTTTTAAATTGATAAAATTTTATCTCAAGAAGTCGAGTATTTATTTCTCAACATGTCAAAATAACTGAGACTGATCACGACAACAGCGTAAACAAAACTAAAAATCGCTCCCGTTTTGTCTTCCGTAATGACAGAAACTGAATTTAAAGCTGCATTTTTAACACGATTTTCTTCTGATGAATTATTTGAAGACGTGAGAATTTTGTTTTTCTGGATGTGACAAACTCACAACCTCAATATGACAGTTTTAAAACTGCAGTGATGGATTGTCTTCTGTACGATATGGAAGCAACGGCTGTGTTTGTTGTTTTAGCAGCATTTACTTGTGAAAACTGACTTTTGTTTTCTTGATGTAATGAAGTCATTTGTGATCTCCAGATAGCGGCGTTTCTTGGCTTCCGTACCGTACGGAGGACCACATGTGCTGTATTTGTCTCTCATGATGAATTAGTCAGTTGTGATCTCAAAGAGAACAAAACAACATGGCTGTTCTGGGCTTCCATATAAACAGCTTTAACAGGTTTTTTTTTCTGTAATTTTCTTGATTGTAAACTTTTTAATCAAAATGTAGTTTATTTAAACTTCTTGATTTGTGCGGCCAATTAAGTTTGACGTCACTCAGCTCAGTGTATTTATATGTTTTGTTGTCTTTGACTTTTCATCTTCGTCTCAAGAACATATCAAAGTGATTTTTAGCGTTTAAATGTTCATGCAGGTGTTTATGGAGCAAACGTCCATCGTGGCTGCACAGACGTGACTTTTTGGCTGATTTTAGCATTTAGCATTTAGCATTAAAGGAGTCACTGAATCGTTTTAGGGACGAAGCTGCTTTGAGGACGAGAATTTAATCTGAGCAGCAGATATGACGGCGATCTACCAACTGAGTCATAATAACGTGTCCTGATGTGTTCATGAAACCACGTCAGCTTCAGCTTCAGTGGGAGGTTTAAGGAGCAACTTGACACTGGGTCCACTTCACTTTGTTCAGTTTGTAGCCTCCACTGCTTTTATTCTGACAATCCAGTAAATCCGGTAAAACGATCACTCACTGGATGTTGTGCTCCTTCAGGTTGATTTAAATGTTTCTGTTGAAGAAGCGTCTGCAGGTGAATTTAAAGGTCACAGTTTCAAACCAGTCTGTCAAGTTAAAGGCGACGAACAAACAGAGTGAATAAACATAAAGATGGAGGCAACGCGTCGGTTCAGTCGGCGTTCAGTCTCAGAGTGACGAATGAACGAACGATGGAGAAAACAGCTTTAAAGCACAGAGGTGTATATTCCATTCCACTAATAAAGACAACAGAAACCAGAACGTGGTCTGAGCCCAGTTTGT